CTCTATCTTTTTGTCTAACTATATGCTTTTTAAATTGTCCACTTTTCTCCTGGCACATCTGAGTTTCCTTTTTGTAATAAAGGATATTTATATTCTATATGGCTGCATGTGTGTGTTACTGGCATTCAAATTATAACATATATAATACTTTAAAGGAGTTGTAATAACACTAAAACTCTTTAGATGTGTTTTAATTTACATTTAATTAGCATTAATAAAAACATATTTCAATAGGTAAAAATATATGCAAATATGAAAGAATAAAAAAAAACCTCTCCTTGAAAAATGTACAATCAAAAAGTCTCTCTTGACTGTTTGACAAATATCAGTCTTGAAATGTTCGCTTCTTTTCGTCTGTGCGCCTCTTAAGGACAAAACTTTCAAACAAACGCTTTTGTCTTTGCATCGCTGGATTAAGAGGTTCAACTGTTAATATAAGTAAAATATTATTATTAAATACTTGTATTCTTAAAATAAAATATAGATTATAAAATAATTCATTTTCTTGCAGTCAGCTTTAACCTTTATTTTGTGAAGTCTTGAAACAATATACATTTTAACCAAAGCTGTAAGATTTAAGTAAAATAGGAGTTTAAAAAATCCATTAAAAAAAAGGACACCAGCACATGTATTTCTTAAAATAATTAAAAGCACTAACAGGTATATTTACATGAGTTGCACAAGATTAAAATTTAATAACTCAATATTTTGAGGAGGTCTGCCCTTCTTAAACCATTTACATTTAGTTTGGTCTGCTTCTAACTGTTAGGAGATTGATTAAAGCCTACAGGAAGAAGACTGTAGCAGCTAGTGGGTGATTTAAAGGTCAAAGCTACAAATTTTTCATCAAAACTCAGCTTTTTACATGGAGGTTGTCACTAGACAGATAGTTTAAATGTTTGCTAATGCTAACCAAAGGTCAGCCGGTAACAGGTGTGTTGCTGCATGTTTGTCAGGTTCTCCTGCTAGTGAGTTAGTTTTAAATGAATTCAGTTGTGTTTATAGCTTTCTGTAAACACAGCTAATCCATCTGTATTTCATCGCCGCTTCACAATTCACAAGAATGTGAGTACAGACTTGTGTCCTCATCAAGTATGTTCTTGAGAAAAACACAGGAAAGCATGGACCCAGGGAGGACGGGAGCAAGCAGCATAAATATGGGTCAATTGGAACAGAAGCGTCAGATAAACACAAATCAAATGAACATTTTTCCAAATAAAACAAAAAAATCGCCATCAGAGTCATTGGTACCTCACACACGGCTATGCTGAGAGAGGGCTGCTGCAAACAGGCTAGGATTAGACCTGGCTGCCCTTACCCTCGGAGGTCCGCTGGTTGCCGCGGTCTTCTCAACATCGGAAACTTTTTGTAAAATCACAAATTAAATCAGTAAATGGGCCATATTGTGACCCTTAGAAGTTTAATTTTCTCACCTCAAATGATCTTAAAACATACTTTTATAGAACAACAGCAACAGATAAAAGAACTTTTAACTTAGTACTCTGAGGACTGAGCGCTCCCCTGGAAGCTGCTGCTGCGGTGGATGCTGGGGCAGCTGTCAATCTCAAGAACAGACAAGTCTGCACTGATTCATGCTCGATAAAGAGGGAGGAGCAAGAACAACATCCTGGGAGTTTGTCTTTTCTCAGACTTGTGTTCTTGTGAATTGGAACAGTACTAGGCTGAGGCTGATGACGTTTCACAAGTACACAAGCACATGAGAACGCACAAGTACACTTGTATTGATAAACGTCCCATGTATCTGGCAACAGGCTAGCAAAATGTAGATGTAGGAACAGTAATTGGCAAGTATGCCACCTACTGGCCAGGAGGACTTATATCTTGTAACTTATAGCTATCTCTAAAGTGGCCTCAAATAAATTTGAAGTCAGCTAATTACCAACACACCAAGGTTTGGCTGTCAAAGAAAGCAAAATAAATTTCCCAAGAACCTAAAACTGATCTTTGCTAAAGTCTAGTGAATAACTTTATCCTCAGAAAAGTCTGCCCTTGCTCAGTCGTAACTAGAGGTGTATAGTAGGATTTTTTTGCACATAAAAAAACACGAAGGCCAAACAAAATTTTGACACTAAGAATATCGCGAAAGACCAGCAGTTTCATTTATAAAAGAGGCATAAGCATGAAACAACGCATAAGCTAGTGTGTGTCACTTTCTACGCATAGACCATGACCTTTAAAATCTAAATAAATAAGAAAATGTGCAGTCCTCCAGCAAAACTTGACCCAAGGATATGATTGTTATACAGAAAGGTAAAATTGGCGACCCAGTGAGGAGGAGAATGGATGCTGTATTGCATCCTGATCCTTTTTAGACCTTTCATTTTCAAAGTCTGTTAAATATTCATGCATTTTCTTACCTTCACATTCCCCCTTCCTCCTTATTCATGTACAACAGATTTAACTCAAATATTGTGACAAAGTGTGAGAAAATTACACTAATTTGGGTAAAAATATAATTATTATTGTGCCACTAGTGCGTATTACTGTTCCATGGATGCATTGGCACTAATAGAAGATCTTGCATATGGGTAGAGTTGGACAATACAGGAGAGTAGAAAACCCGTCTAGTTCATCCTCATGCTGTTAACTTCAGCAGGTTATCAGTCCCTGTCTCTGCTGTGGAAATGGAAATAAAGATGGCTGGAAAAAAATCTCTGTTCAGGGTTTTTAATCTGTTGACCTGAATCCTCTTCCTCAGCAAGTAAGAAAATTAGGAAAGAACAGGCTATTAGGGATCACAAAGATTTTCTGTCCCACACTGATTTCAAGCCAATTTAAAAACAGCAGAGCAAAGCTCATGGATCTATGTGCTGAAGGATGTCTAGTACCGAAGAGACCAACCTGCCGGAACCATACCCTCCCTGTCCAATTACAGCTGTTAAGCACTCTGGATCTCCTAGCAACTACCTCTCACCAGCACAAATTAGTCCACAGGTGTTAAACATAATCAAAAATTAGCTAACTCTTTGCCTAAAGCAAATTAATTCTACAAAATTAGGTTGATTAGGTAGATTTTTTGCAGACAGTGCTAAGCTACTCCACTAATGCCTGCAGTCCAATGAACCTGAGAGCACCGCTTACTTTAATTTGTCAGACCATTATTGTGGCTACCTCGGACTCTGCACCTCACTCACCAACACATCAAATTCTGCTTCGGTGAGATTCTTCTCTTTTTTGTGTTTCTCATTGGTAACCATGACAACATAGATAGAAAGAACTAAAAAAAAGGTGATGTGAAGAACTAAAGGTACCTCTTTAGATGAAAAATGACACAAGGCCATGTTCAAAAAGTAGATCCAAGGTCCAATTATGATCTTCAGACAGAGGAGTCTAAAACTATATTATCTGAGCTTGCCATAAACCACATTGAATATTCCAAGAAATTAACCTCATACCAACTTTGAATAGAACAGAATAGAATAGAATACTTGCTGTATGTAAAGAAACCCTGGAAAACCCTGGGCCGAGACAAACACAGATCTTTATGTCACTGAGATGCTGTGTGAGGAATTTAAACAGGCTTTTAATGCAATCAGGTGAGCTGACAGCTTTGAGTATTTAATAGGTGATTAATTAAATAAGAACTATATAATTACCTATTTATTTTGGATAAAATATAAATATGTTTATTGAATACATCAATTGTGGGTAACATTGATATTTTTAGATTTAGAAATATACATTTTGCCACTTTTTGGCACTTTTAGCTTTATATACTTGCTCCAGTCGCAATTGATGGCATTTATAGATTCCTGCTTGTGTGACATGTTTAGATTTGAGAACAGAATATATTCTTCAAAAATCTTTCCTAAGCAGTTGAGGCTGTACAGCAGTATTGACTATATATTCGCCTCAACCTCCAAGTTTATTCAACCACTGTCACCCATTCCAGGTAGGCAATAAAAACTTCTACTGGATTTTCCTGCTTCACAAAGGTAGGCAGCAGCCTGACAAAGCCATGATGAAATTATTTTACATCCAAGTAATTTGCAGTTCTTCATATATATATATATATACACATCAATTTCAAACAGATGGTATCGGTATTGGCCGATACTGCACAGCCAGGTATCGAGTATTGTTGGTATCAGGGCCAAAAAATGGCATCCGTGCAACATTAATAAAAAGCAAACCATGAGAGCAGAGAAGGAGCATGTAATAATGTTTGTGACATTTCAATAACTCAAGTAAATGAAACTGGACCATAAAAGGTTTCAAATGTGCGTGGAGAGTAGTTATTGTGCGTGTGTTTTAAATAAAACTGCTCATATGAGTATTTATCACCTGATTGCACTTTGGGACAAAATTCAGACTTCATAATGGCAACGATAAACGTCTAGAGGAGTTCAAATTTACTACAAAGAGGAAGGATATCCTAGCATTTTCCTCAGATAGAAAAAATGCTTTTATACTACATTTTGCTTGTTAATTAAATCATTATCTTGATTCGCTGCAACTAATTCCTGTTGTTTTTTTAATAGGCTAATAAAAACAAGATCAGACATCAATACATGGACCAATTGTTTAATTGGATGTTTTACCTTTTCATTTAACTGTAGATCTCCTCTAAATTCTATAGTTTTTCTGACAAATGTTTGTTGTTTTGATTTGTAAAATATAAATAGAATCAAATAAACTGTGGAAAATGACCCTACTGCACAGTGCCATTGAATTAATAAACAAGCATTGGTTCAGTACTGACCCAAACAGTTGTGATCGTGAGTTAGGAAACTCTGCCTGTTGCTGAAAGACTAATTTGGTTTTAGGAGAACATCTTATTTTTTTTAATGAGCTCCACATATTTGCTTAATCATTTAAGTCTTTTGACCTTTAAAAGCATAAACCCCCGTTTTTTGGTCTTTATCTGATTAAGAAGAGATTTAACAAATGGCCGTGTCTCCACTGACAGCGCGGTGAGACGATGCAGGATTCGGTCTGCTGGTTTCTGACATCTAGCCGGGTGAAGAAGAGTGACTCACCTGCTCGGGGCTCATCCAAGCTCTGGTTGTCTAACTTCTCCTGCATCAACCTGCGTGTCCATCGCAGCAGCTCACCGTTCACGCCTGGCTGAAGCCCAGAGGACTTTGTCTCTGTGAAAGAACAGCAGGGGTCATTTTAGAGCAAATACATATGCATTTTTTAGCTTGGAGATATTGCTTTTAACAGCACATTTATAGATGCCATTAAAAAACAGTTTAAATAATTTAAATAATACAAGTAGATATTCGGATGAGTGTTTGTGGACATAAGGGGCATCAGTAACCACATTTAAACAATAACATGAACAGAAACAACTTTAGTTCACATCAGTAGTTTATTTCCATGTGTATTTTAGTTACTAAAAGCTTTTGGGACATGAAATCTAAGAAACTACCCCTCATTTAGACCTACCTCACTATCCTAATTGTGTTATAAAGCTCACAGACATCCTGATTCACCATCCAGAGAGATCCTTCAAACCAGGGTCATCATGATAGAGTGATATTTATCATCCTCTCAACCACACAGGGCTGTATTAATATGAAGCAGCTTTTCTATGTGTCTGAGGCTGATGCATTTTGGGATTGCCAGGCACTGTAGTGTCTCTTTGTACCTCGCAGCTCAATGAGCCCATTTCACCAGGCCAGTGGTTGCAGCCGAGATGAGACCTGAGGGCTTTCATGTTGAGGCATCAAGAGGAGCTCGACTCGTATGAAATTCAAATAGGTTTCTGCCGCAGAAGGCTCAGCAGAATTTTCACACTATTAACTGGGAAAAGTCACCTAGAAAAGCATCTTATCTGATAAAACTGATGAAGGCAAGCAGAGACTGTCATATTTATTTAGTTTGCTCATTTTTCCAACCATCTGAACTCACTGAGGAGATGAACGGACACTTTGGGAGCGACAGTGGATGACTTATTCCATATGTTTGTAAAAAACAAATGTTCTGGCTCCAAATACAGTAAACCGTCGGCTTTCCGAGTAACTGGCTTAGCGAGAAAGCTATTTAAAGATGTCCCACTGGGAATGTTCAATCAGATTTTCCTTTATGCTAAAAGATTATTAGATTCAGGCATCATTAAAGCAAAGCAAAGGCTTCAAGGGAAATATCTTGATGAGTTTTTCTTATTACATTTCCTTTCATAACCAAGGCTGGTAGTTTGATTGTGCCAGTGAGGCTAAACAGAGTTTTTGCCTCAGGGATCAGTTTAACTACGGTGGTTTTCATCTTGTGATGTAAATGACTTAACCACCAATGCCTAGCTTTTTTCTCCTTATTAGCAAATAAAAATCAGCAATAGAACAATAGAGAGAACCTACTATAAATAAATGATCTTGATTTTGTACCTCTGAAGCACAAACTTGATTGTATTGTATCAAGATCTTATCTTTGCAGTTTCTTTCTTGGTTTGTTAAATAACATTTTGGACATCTCTGGTGTTGCTGTTTTTCTCACATATCCATTACTCTAAAAATGTCCACAGCTGTTTATTGATTATTTACTCTCCAGAGACAGAGCATTTATATATTTTAAAAGCACTGTACAGTACAGTACTTATTTATTTTCTTAACTCTTTCACCTTTTCTGTTATTTTTATACACTTTCTGATGCTGATGTAACTCCACAATTTCCCCAAAGGGATTTTCTATTCTATTGTATTCTATTCTAAAAACAAGTTAAACATTTTTTTCATATACATTCTTCTCTTTGACCTTCACCTTTGACTTTTAAGTTCAACCCTTTACAGTGATTGTTGGTGTGGAGAGAGATCAGGCTCCAGAATGTAAATATAGGAGAGAGGTCCCTGAACAACCGGAGATAAAATCAGGCTTGTAGAGTTTGTATGGAAATAACCCTGATCTTGTTTTCAAAAGCTGAATAAAGACTGTAGGTGTGGAAAAAGCAACATCACAGAACATCGTAATATAACAGTGCAGAGTGCAAATAACTCCTGCTTTTATTTCCCCACATTAATAAAACACTACTGAATATATTTTTTAGTGTGATGCAGTAAAATAAGCCAGAAACCCTATAAATCTGCTTTGCTGGAGCCCATGCTGAACCTAAACTATTATATTAAATTTACTCTTTACAGCCCTAATAAAAAACAATAAGTTGGAGCTGCTTAAATGGAAAGGATTTTTTTTGTATGCTGTTCAAAAAAAGGATCTGCAGACTGTTGCAGAAGGCAGGTTTCTACATACAAATGTCAAAATCTGTTAAATTCTCCTGCTATTGCGTATCTCATCTAACATGGACCTAAACTATGCTTCTTCACCTACAGATTGTTTTTGCAGAAGGTCCCTAATCCATGTAAAGACACATCTAAAAATGGAGTGTTTTTAAGCCAATGATTTTGATCTCCAACCAGTGACATCTCGTTTTTTGAGAAGTCATTAAAAGAGATGTTGTTGGACATGGTGCAGGATAAACTGGGGGTGTAGCTAAAAGGATGGCCAGGGTCACCCTTCAGCCACTCATTGGTCAACCCTGCAAGGTGATTTGTGGTTCCAGAGTGGACATAATTCACCGCAGTGCAGATATATTCTCAGGTGGAAAGTTCTCATGAATTTCAAGTGTTAGTTTATTAAAAGCATGATACAAAGACACAGTAAGCATTTTTTAATATCTATATAGTAACATTAAAGATGACAAACAATCATCTAGAGGTCTCATGTATAATTAGATATGAATAAAAACTGAACCTATTTAGTTATGTATTAATCCATGTATATATTAATTTTATGCAGAGCCAGTTGCGTTTTCTCATTGAATATTAGGGAGGCAAAATCTCCACGGTATTATCATAAAATTATTGTTTAAATATGCCTTGTCAAACTCCATAAATGTAGCCCTTAAACTGCATTAAATGTCAGAGATCCCTGTTGAGGTTTGAGCCTCTGTCTATTGAGGTAACCAGCGAGAAAGTGGAGCCCTGTCTGGATAACACAGCAAAATACGTCACTTCCTGTGAGGCTAAACCTCTTAGGGGGTCTGTGGAACAGGGGCGGGTTGTGCAGGGTTGTCATGAAAATGTCAAACACAGCTCGAATCCCAAATTATTATTTGATGGTCGATACCATTGTCAATACCATTCAGTTCAATTCAATAATACTTTATTAATCCAAAAGGGAATATTAATTAAAAAATGCCAAATAAATACAGTGAGGGAAAAAAAGTATTTGAACACTCTACTTAGAAATCATGGAGGGGTGTACCCTGCCTCTCGCCCAGTCTATCCCAGTGCAACAGAGACAAACAGGACAAGCAACCATTCATTTAAACACTCACACCTAAGGACAATTTAATAATACTTGATTAATCCCAAAGGGAAGATCAATGAAATGCCAAATAAATAAAGGCATAAAAAATGTTTAACATAAAAAAAACTCGCCTTTTTCAATCTCAACAGATTTATCTTTTTCAGTAAGTGTATAAATATAATTTGACAATATCGTAATGTTGTTTGAAGTAATATTCTTTTAATGTGAAAATAACAGATTAACAATACACTACTATTAAGTATCGATACCATAGATTAGTATTTATCTGAACCACTCTTTCTTTCTAATGGCTCTCCCCAGGGCTGTATCTTCTCCCCTCTTTTATTTGTGCTACACACTAATGACTGCAATCATATCAAGTTTTGATTCGTAAGTAGACTGGTTCAGAAACCATATCAGGGTACAAGTAAGCTTTGTATTTTGAATTTCAGTTGTGTTTTTATGAAGAGGTTTGTTTTTGTTTGATTGACTCTTTTCTCACATGTGTTTTATTTCAGATCACTTTCTATCAAAATAAGCCTACATATTATTTGCAAGGTTTGCGAATTGCCGGTCGTATTTTTTACTGATTTGGATGTCCTTTTATTCCAGTTATATTCTGTGGCTAAAATTCCTTCTTTAACCAGTGGAGCAAAGATACAACAGACAAAGAAAGACCAAAAAAAGTCCTTTATCCCTGCTGCGATTACCCGGGTCTATTCTAGGTCCATCTCCCCTTGGGATAATACAGTTAACTTGAACCTAAACAGTAGTTCGCCCCCTTTAAATGGAAGTGGTGTTAGATGTTGTCAGTGTGCACTGACCTGACTTTCTTTAACAGGTTTACTGCCTGCATAAGGACAGGCTAGATTCCACTGTAGTAAATCTCTAAAGCTGGGAGATGTATAATGCTGGTAGGGATGGTTACATTTGAAACCTGAGCCTGTAAACATCACTTTAAGTGACATTTGTGTTTCAGTATAGTTTTTTTTTTTTTAAGCTCTTCTCTTTGCTCGGTAATGCTGCAGCTCTGCAGATCTTTGCACCAAACTTTTAGACATGTTGAGGTTAACCATTGGTTACACCTTTTATTCATCAGTGGGCCGGTGTAGATGGAAAAATGCCAGGGCCACCCTAAGCCTGAGTTGGGGTGACATAATCTCTGAGATACAGTAAATGTGTTTTAGCTTTCCAGTTGAAGACCCTTGAGTTGTCCATGGCCATACAGCCATTGTTACAGCCATAACAATCACTTGAACACTGTTCTATGCAGTATTCTTTGCAAATACACACACTGAATCCTGTCGTCCTCTAAACTCTTAGAATTAGCCCCTGAATGACTGAATGCATGCTGGATAAATCATAATGAACTGCCCAGCAATGTTAAATCAGGACTAAATATCCACTGTTGGTTCAAGCATCCATCTTGTATCATGAAGTCAGGTACCAAACTGTTGCATTGACTTTCTAACTTGTAATTCCGACTCTCTGGAACATTCCAGTTAGAATTTACAACCTGTTAAATTATTGTCAACTAATCTGGTAATCGAAATCGCATCATGACCTAGAAACTCTAAAACATGCCCTTTACTGAAAGAATAACCTACTTAAGACAGAACTCTACTAATATAAACCATAAACGTTTTTTGAACATAACATATATATTTTTATCCATTAAAGATGAAACTATATAAATGAGTACACATGTATATATTTTTTGCATGTTTTGCCATTTGCAACTTATTTACAAAGCACAATTAAAGGTAACTGTCAATCATTCTGGTGATAAGTTTACGTAAGGCCAACATATGTGCTCGTCCCCATTTTCACTTACCGGTGGTGAG